ATGAGTTGGAATAACTCAGTAACGAGGACCTCTAACACGAATCGCACGGATAATTCTGTTCCACACGTAAACCTCTGAGGACCGATTTCTCTAAAAAGTTACGAAACAAACTTGATTTAATAATACTTTAAACAAATGAATTTGATGTTTTTAAATTTTTAGACCCTTGAGTTTCTTTAGAATGATTTAAAATTGTTTAAAAATATTTAAACTTATTCCCACCAAATACCAGGTAAATAAAGCATTGGTTATATTTAAGAAGCCTTTTTGTTTATTTCTTTGTTTTCTACAGCTTTTGCAGGTTGACAGTTATGATTCGCTAAGCATGTTTGCTGTGAATTGGAATCGACTTGATGGTAGCGAGTTTGGTTTGTACGCAGATGTTCATTTTCTAGAGTGCTAGATGCCAGGGGGTTCGTGCATCTATTGGGACTGATGTTATACAGACTATAACTAAATTAATTACTACAAATAATGTAGGGTGGGTGCTAAACCTACAATTACAGCTTCAGATTAGTTGAAGAATTACAAGTTTTTTAGTCAGCGAATCATAAAAATTGTACCAGGGTAGGCAGACCAGTGTTCAAAGTACTACTTTATATGAATACTAGTTCTGTGTTTCAAGACTGACTCAAAAAGGGAAGGACTTCCGTGGGAGAGTTAATAGACCTGGCATCTGAGCTCACTGGACAGAGCCCTGGCAGTGAGCTACTGCTTAGCTTTGACTAGAAGTCCCAGATCCGAGACTGCAGGCATCTCTACAGATGCCTCGCCCACAGTCTGTGCTCTAAGGAGTGGGGGAAAATGTAGGAGGGCAAGTTAGAAATTCCTCTAAGATTCCACTTCATACCGTTACAGGTGCAGTTCACACAAAGTACATTTAATGGTGGCTTCAGTCATGGCTACAGACAAATCCTCTGGGCAATCAACTTGTCTTGTTAGGGAACCTTCATAAAGCAAGTCCAGTCAGAACAATGGCTTCCAAGGGACGTGTGGGGCCAGTTAAATTCGAAGCAGAGTCAGCCCTGAAGGTTAAGGCGACTCTTGTATGGGATTCCAGACTCTTAATAGAGTGTCTCAAAGGACACAGGGGCTATTAGGAAAAGGTCTAAGAAAATTGAAAACTGCCGTAGTGAGGGAAAAGGGCGGGGAGGTTGCACTGAGGAACTTCTATCCACCCTAACGAGTATCTGCGCCTTCTGTGGAGGGTGGCAAGGAGCGGCCTGGGAGCATTTCAGTGGGAGACCGTACCCCAGCACCCTACAGCCCTGGCCTTGCCCTGTCAGACTTCTTTCCGTGCCCAGAACTCACTGTTTGAGTCTCTCAAGGAAGCGCAGACTGCCATTTGGACTTGACTTAAATCTTTAATGTGCGGTAAATTAGAGAGCACCGAACATTTGAGGAAGGGTTGGAAAGAAACAATAACTTCTCATTTTGGTATTTTTATGTCATAAAAAATGTCTATGATTTTGTAGAAATACGTTTTGAGTGACCAGTGTAGACTTAACAACTGACCAGAAAAATGTATCCAGGCCAGGAGCTTCAACTGCCCCTGTGCTCTCTCTGAGGAAGAAACAAGCACATTGAAAAGCAACTTGTGATATAACATTTAGAACACGCTCCCTGGGTTTTGTCTTCCTTTCTGTTTCTGGAGAGAGCCAGCCAACCTAGAATGGGTGTGAGTTCCTTTAAGTCTTTCTAGAGATTCTTATCTGTAAGTAGCTCCATTTCTGCCTGACATCTACAACTGCATTTGTGTCCCCCAAGTAATTGTCGATGTATTAAGTACAGTGGTGCAATTTATTGTCCCTGGTTCAGATTAGGAGACTGAGGCTCCGATGTTGATTGGTCGGAGGCATGTGGCCAGTCAATGAGCGGGGTCAGTGACTCAGAACATTCTGACTCTGCTGCCCCGGGCTCTCAAGGAAAGCCAAGTCAAGCTCAAAAGTAAAATACAGAGAGTATTAGAAAGTAGATTATCGTTTTAATATCTCTAGCGGTGTTATTGAAAACCTGAAGTAGCTTTTGAACATGCCAGAGCAGCTATTAAATTTACTCTCAGTCACAAGTGCCATCTACATCATTGGAAAAAACTCACTGTCACTGAATAGTTAGTTCCTATCCTAGCAACCCTCTATAGCGGTTCCTAAGAGGGTGTAAGGTGGGTCTGCCAGAGAAGAGAACCTGCAGCATTACTTCCCACTAAAGGGAGCCCCAGAAATCAGGGTGACCACTACACCTTTTGCACAGGTGGGAAACTGGGAAAGGCGTGCTCCAGGTTCCACTCTATGTCCAAGGATTAGGTCTGATGAGAAAGAAATGTGAGTTCACTTCCTTTTTTGGGTTTGTTTTAATATTTTTCATACTTAAAGAGGGGCAGGGTGTGTATGTATATACATGTACTTCTCTGAAGCAGGTGCCACTTTGAGCCAACACTGCCGGCTGGCCCTGTGCGTGGTAGAGCAGCGCCGCCCGCTCCACACGCTCGCGAGGCCTTCCTTGGGAGGCATCTCTGGGCTGCTCAGCCTGCCAGCCTTTCAGTGAGCAGCCGAGTGCAGGAACTGTTTGCTCCCCCGGTGAGCCTGGCGAAGCCGTTAAGAGAGGGACGCAGTGGGCTAAGCACTGGGCTGCTAACTACGAGGTCGGTAGCTCCAGCCCACCGGCTGATATGAGGTAGGAAGATGCAGCCGTCTGTCTCTGTAAAGACTGACAGCCTCAGAAGCACTATGCAGCAATCCTGCTCTGCCCTGTAGGGTCACCGAGTGGGCATTGACATGGTGGCAGTGGGTTTGATTTATTAGGAAGATAAAACAATCACTGTTAATTGTAACCGACATATTGCTTACTGGTCCACTGTGGCAGCTACTGTGATAAACGCTGCATAGTGTGTTATTTCCTTCAGTCATCACTGTAACTCTAAGAGGTGATTTACTGTGGCCCCTATTTTGCCCACGAGACAAGCAAGGCACAGAAAGAAGGTTGGGTGACTTGCCCACAGTCACACACAGACACAAGAATCAAATCCAGCCTAACACCCAAACTGTCTCCCTCTACTGCATGGCTCTGAGAAGGCACAGGCACTAGCAGCATGCGAAGTGTGCCCTCTGACCGTCCCTCCTCCACATGTACGGAGCTGGAGAGCGGGCAGAAGAGAGCAGTGTGGTCTTCAGGTGGCAACCAAAAAAGAGAACCAGCCAATCACCCTGCCATCGAGTCCATTTGGGCTCCTAGTGACTTGGTAGGACAAGGTCGAACTTCCCCGGGGGCAAACGAGCCTGTAGGATTTTGAACTGTCTTCCAACCAGCAAGAATACTCATTTATAGAACCATGAATGTATGCAAGGTTTATACTGATCCTATGAAGAATTATTTAAATTATGTAAACAGTTATATTGCTGAGAGAAAAACAATGTTGATACCATGTACCCTGTGCTATGTAAGGCATTTGTTAATTTTGAGAGAACATTGGCCTCATTTGTAAATGATTTAAAAATACATAATTAAGAACTAATGTCCGGGGCAGAGGATAATTACTGTACACAAGGCAGTTTTTCCCACGTGATGTAGCTACTTTTTAAAATATAGTATTTTTTTTAATGGTAATCTTTAGAAGTTTGCGCTTGCATGGTGGTTTGTTTTGTTAGGCACCATGGGTCTTCTATTTAGTGATTAAAAAACAAAACACATTTAAGGAGAGAGTGGATAAAACGGAACGAGGCCGTTGTAACACTTGCGAGTGACTTTTTGTGTGGATGTCTTTGTTCTGAGTTTTCTGTCTCCTAAAACAAAACAAGATAATTACGTCCATCCGAGATGATCATAATTTGGAGAAATGTTTATAGGGATGTGGCCAGATTGCCTGTTTAATAGACGATGCCATGTTTGTTTCAAACCCTATTTATGGTACGAAGGCTGTTCTGTGGCAACATTTTCCTGTGTGAGAAAAGATGGTTTTAAATGGAAATTTTTTAAGACATACGCATGCCAATACATGATTAAGTTAGGTCTAACAAATACGAATTTTGTTGCTATAGTGCAGTTTATTTACAAAAACAATTATAAGAGAATTACAGGCAATTGCTTATTGTGAGTTGCTAAGGACTTAACTCCAGCTGATGGCGACCCCCCCGCCCCTTCCCCGTGGACAGGATAGACCAGTGTTTCAAGGAGCCTTCGAGCTGGGCTTTCAGAAGCAGTCGGCTGCTCGGCCTGTCTTCTGAGGTACTCTGGGTGGGTGTGAGTTGCCCCCTCTGGGTTAGTACTCAGTTGTACCACTTGGCAACGCTAAGGAGTGGACAGCTTCCCCTCGTGCCCTTTAACTGCTCCCTTTGCCATCCCCTCTCTAAAGAAATTCTCCTTAAAAATCACTACGCTACAAATAAGGCTGCTTATTTCAGAAAAAGACCCGTGGTGACACTGTTGGGTAAGCATTGGGCTAACCTGCAAGGTGGGCAGTTCAAATCCACCAGCTGCTCCTTGGGAGGAAGATGGCGCTGTCTTCTCGCAGAGTTTATAGCCTCAGAAACCTCAATGAGTTAGATAGACATCACTCAATGGCAGTGGGCGATTTCAGAAGAGTCCAGCAGATGTTCTTGTAAGCACAAAGCCGGGCCCATCACCAGCAAAATCTTGGAAGTCAGGCCACCATTTTGATTTGCTAGTAGCATGTACCCTTGGACAGGCAGTGTTCTAAACTCCAATTCCTTGTCTGATAAAACTTTGTGATCAACATTTAGTCTGGAGTTCCGCTGGAGGTGGAGTGTGGCAGCTGTGAGGAATGTGTGAGCGTGGCATGCATGTGGGAGTGGGAAGTAGTCCAGCTGAACTTACGGCGACGCAAATAGAGCCGCGCAACCCAGTTGGGCTGTGCTGGGCAGCGCGAGGGACTGGCCTCCTCACGTGTGTACAGTGCTCAACAGAGTACGTGGAGCCCAGACCCGTATGTACATCTGAGGTGTGTGCAATAAAAAGTGCTAGGGTAAGAAGTTCAATACTTTATATCATAGTAAACTATTATTTTATTTGTAACCCCATGTGTTAATATGGGACACTGTTAAAGTAACAATCATTGTAAAAGCAACAACCAGTGAACTGATACATTGGTATTTAAAATTAATAATTAGAAGCCGAATGGAAGCAAGTGTCTAAGATAACTAAGATAATTCATAACAACCATTAATTCAAGCTCTACTTAATGTCAATTTAATAACTCAACCGAGGTTAACCTAAAATGCACATTTAGAGATAGGATAAGAGTATAAGTTAGTAAAGTATTAAATAAGACTTCAGAAAGACGCTAAACTTATTTTTACGTAAGAACTTTAGAACTCATTTTCTATATGCGAAAATGACCAGCTGTTAGTATTTAATAAGCTCACTCACACTAAGGGGATTTCAGGTTTGTGATGAAGTCCATTTTACCGCACGTTTTGAAGCCCCTGGGTGCGTGACCTCATTTGAAGCGCTGCATTTGTTTTCACTAGCAAAATACATGTCGATGGCGTATTTTGAAGTATTTCCCAGATTTTTCACTAGCTTGAATGAGTCATTTCAGCGATGTGTCTGAACTTCCATTAACACCTAACCCTTTTATGAAGAAGTGCTTCTGAAAACAAAGCCACTTTTCTGCAGCTTGCTTATGAATAGAAAATAAATCTTTGGTTTGTTTTCTTTTAATTAAAGGGGCAGGAATAATTTTGCAAAAAAAATAAATAAGACATTGAAGAACCAAACAGTGAAGACGCTCTCTGTACGCATGGGAAGCTGCAAAGCCCACGAGGTGCAGTCAGCCCCGGAGGCCCCGGTGAGGTGGCCCCTCCTCTGCAGAGTGCTGCGGTCCGGCGACATCCATTGCCCTCTTAGGGGGCGCAGCTGAAGGGTCACATCAACAGTGATTGTTGCTCGTGAGCAAGAGGCGCGTCTCTAGAGCTGGCCAACAGGAGTGACATTAGAGAGGATCTCCACCTCCCAGACTTCACTCGGGGAAACTGAGACCCGGGGAAGAAATAGGCAATGCCGGAGCTCAGGTGCAGATGCCTGGTCCACTTGCTTCGGGACACATCTACATTTTAAACCAAAACGTGAAGGTTCCAGAAATGTGAATTTGAAGGGAGACATCCTATTAAATCCCCATCAAATCCCCAAAGGCAAGTTAGAAATGTATAATACTTAACTGTCTTATTTCCTTTATACCAGGTATTGGGCAACTGAACTAAGAGACGAATTGATTTATACAATTCCTTTCCATTCTATGTAAAACCACAACTTAAAGGGGGGAAGTTACATGGGATTCGGTTTGCGCAGACGTAAGGCCGTGAGCATTGATAGGAACCACCGCTTCCCGGGCGAAGGAAGAGGTCCGAAGTCCTGCTCAGCAAGAAGGCTCTGGCTCGTGATTTGGGAGGCTCTCCATTCTTCAGTGAGAAAAACGATGCTTTTTACAAAATCTCTACAAAGCAGACATACAGCAAGACAGTTTATCCTAGATTTGTGGCGGAAATGAGCACTTAAGGCTGTCATTTTCAAGTATAAAAGTTTAGTGTTCCATTACCCAATCTGTGCAATATAGCTGAAAGCTCAAGTCGTAGAAATGAACAGAATCCCACCGCAGACCCAAGTGATTCTAATTCAGGCAACAGCAAGTTTAAATGTGGGAAAGCTGGGGTGCGAGGGTGTGGTTCATTATGTTTCTCTATACAACCTCATTCGTTGGCTCACACTGCAACTGAGTCTAACACTTATATTGTCAGCTGCATGGCATCGGTAATAAGGCAGATCCTCACGAGAGCCGAGCAAGCTTCATCAGGGAACAGACCTAGGAATTTGGATGGTCCACCTCCAGCACAGTGCTGTTGGCCAGACCAGCAGAGGAAGATTAAACACGGCTCTGGTAAACCAAGTCACCTCCCCAGGGCAGAGGGAAACGGTGCCTGGGGCGTGTTTTTAGGCAGAGCCATTCACCCGGGACCGACGCACTGCTCGTAGGAGAAACTCCTTCCGGCTTGGTGTCAGGTACATCGCAGCATGGCTGCAGATGGGAGGTATTTGGAAGTCCTGTGGCGCTTCACTTACAGATCAGCTCTGTGACTTCTGTTAGAGTTCCCGGGGGCTTCTATTCAGTTTTAACACGGAAGCAGCTGCCCGCCACAAACTCCAGGTGACATGCTTGAGTTCCAGGTTTTTCTCTTTCTCAAACACAAATGAAAAGTTTCTGTGGTTTGGTCAGTATACACACTTCTACCATTTGATATGATGTACCCAGCCAATGTGGGAATTAAAGAGAAGAAATTTACCAACTAGTCCGGCGAGCTAAATGGATCCCAGGGTTATGGCAAAGTCTGACCCCGAATTTTAATGTGTTACGTCAGCATGTAACTCATGCAGTCTGGGCAGCATCAAACTAAAGCTACAATTGCCAGAGCCTTGCGACCGTTTAATGCGCATGAAGGAAAACGCGTACAGGTTTTGTGTTCATGGTAAATGCGGGTAGGACCTCTTTACACTTTTGGTATTCTTTCAGAAGCACAACACATTTTTATAGCGGAGGAGCTCGGTTACACTGACTTTGTGCTCAAGTAATAACAAAACGTGTTTGTATTTGCTCTCACACGTTGCCCCTTCAGGTTTGGCCCATCTCCTGCACGCTTGGCGCGACCTTTGGCTACGTGGCTGGGCTTGCTATTTCACCACTCTGGATCTACTGGAATAGAAAGCAACTTACATACAAGAATAATTAACTGGGAGCAAAAGGAGAAGATATTTCTTTGTGCAGATTTCCATGAAAACTGTGCAGAAATACATATGGGCAATGCCAAGCAGTTCCATTTACAGCACTGTTGTTTTGTTTTATCTATGTAGATATAATACGATGTAATTGTAGCTTTTTGAAACTATGAAACCCCTGAGAGATTGTACCTTCTATTGAAATAAAGTATTTATAATATAGATTGTGGCTTCAGATGCGGTGTGCTGCTTCTTAGACCTTGAAAAAACATTCTTAGGGAACTCTAGAGAATTCTGAGGGCAGTTTTGTTTTATATTTCCACCCCCTTGACCTCCCAAGTTTTAAACTGCTTCTTTCTAAGGTCTCTGTATAGCTGTAGCTTTTCATATGCTTTCTGAGAGCAAGAGATAGTCTCCTTGGCCGCTGAAGACATTCCTCACGTAATCAAGCAACAGTTTATACATCTTGATCCTATTCTTTTTTTGACTGTGTGTTTCTTTGGGGTTAAAATGGCTATTATAGCCTCATCGAAAACAGTCTTTAATCCCTTCTGGGTTAAAGCCGAACATTCCACATAGCAGCATGCGCCTATCTGGGAAGAAAGAAGAAAACAACATCACAAGTATATAATACCTTTACATGGTTTACTCGATACTGCCATAATGGTACACCCAACATACCACTATAAGGTTAAGTACACAATAAAGATAAGCAAACACAAGTAATCCAAACTCATAGCATCCAGAGAGAGCTGTTAAAATACTAGTGTCATACCCCCTCAGATGATTCCTAGGAAAAATTCCTGTCTGTTTGTCTGCATGCCCAGCATGGTTTTAGGTGCTTAGGGTACTGCAGCCGTGAACAAAAGAGCAAAGGCCCCGCTGGGTGGCGTCTACATAACGCGTCCCAGGAATCCTATAAGGTGGGAGGAAGACAGACTAGGCATGCTGAGGATGAGGGGAGTGGCTTGCCAGAGAGGGCATCTCAGCAAGAAGCTGGAACAATAAGGGGTATGGACGGAGAGGAGGAGCTAGGCAGGCAGGCAGAGGCCCCATGCAGAAGCACGCATGGAGCACTGAAGAAGCCCCACTGAGGGAGGAGCGCTTGATGCAGAACACGACACGAGGCGGTCAGCAAAAGAACCTGAGTCACTGTAAGTCGCCTAGCTTTTCTTTCAGAATGGACCCAGCCATTCATTCATTCACTGAGCATGGACCCAGCCATTCATTCATTCACTGAGCAGTGCTCTGCACCAGATGTGAGTGCACGGGGGACCAAAATTAGCCTCTAGCCTCAAGGAAAGAAGCCCAACAGTGAACAATTAAGTATAGACAGGCAGGTAGGTACCTGGGTAGAATGTCAAAGTTAAGTCGTGTGGAGAAACATTTGGTAAGGATGATAAGGAAGATGACCAAGATCAGGCAGAATCTCACCAAGCAAGTGCAGAGCAGAGACCTAAAATGAACAAGCAAAGACTGCCAGCCCAGGGAAGGAGGCAAAGACGCTGGGACAGAAGAGCTGGGAGAACAGTGCAGGAGAGGCCAGGCCAGCTGGAGTACCGTGAGTGAGGCGAGACTAGCCAAGACTCAGATTCAGGGGCCAAAGAACGTAGGGTTTATTGGCCACACTGAGGATGCGGCTTTTACTCTGGGAGCTGGGAGGGCCCTGAAAGCAGGGGCTTTGACTTGACTGGGCTCACAAGCGAATGGACTCATTGGCTGCTCTGTTGAGAACCGACAGTGGGGCACAGACCAAAGCAGAGGGATGAGTTACAAGTTGTTGCAAGAATCTGGGCCAGGGATGGAGGGGGCCTAAACCAGGGTGACAGAGGAGAGGGTGATGAGAAATAGTTAGATCCTGGATCCTAAAGGTAGAGCAATAGATTTCTATTTTCCCCCAAAGAACTAGATGTACCAGGTAAAAGAATAAGGTCAAGTATAACTTCAAGGCTTTTGACTTGAGTAAGCAGGACTGTAGGCTGGGAGCAGTGTTTCCCAAAGTGAGAAACACTACTGCCCCCTGGGGGTGGGCACTGGAATGATTCAGTGGGGCTGCAAAAGCAAGTACCTATCCTTTATCCTTGATTTGGGACTATAGGATTTCTTTTTAATTGCCAGGGGAGCTCTGAGTAATTATTATTTTGAAAAGGGTCCGGTTGGAAAAATAAGTTTGGGAACCTGTGGTTTGGAGAACAGGAATTCTGTATGGGTATGTTCATTTTGAGATGCTCAGCTACCCAGATGGATGTGCTGAGGGAACAACTGGATAACAGCCTGGGATGGTGACAGAAATCTAGGAACCGCCGGTGGTCGACTGTGTAGGCTCCAAGGCAGTGACGAAGATGACCGGCCCCTGGCACCCTCCAATATTCACAGATGCTCAGGAGATGGGGGAGGGGAGGAGAGCTCTTGAGAGCGGAGGAAACCCAGAGACAAGCTAAGCATGGAAGACAGTGAAGAATGTGTTGTAAGAACAAACCGGCTGTGCCAACTGCTGCTGACAAGTCCAGAAATGGGGTCCCACTGCTGGGCAACCAACTTCTGCTTTGAAACTATCTAATAAACACCGTCTCAGTAGCGATATTAGCACACATTTATCGGGTTTTTCCCCCTCCACTGACAACAGGGCAACAGCCTTACAAACCAAACCATCTCTGAGCACATCCCAGTAATTTTCTAAGAAAACCAATTCTACGTGTAGCACCGCTTTATCACAAATTATGTGAGATTTTAAGGATTTTACATATTGCCAAAATGCTCATTAAGATTGCCTTCACAGCTGATAGTGTCCAGCTATCAAAAGATATAGTGTCTGGGGTCTTAAAGGCTTGATGATAAACAAGCGGCCATCTAACTGAGAAGCAACAAAATCCACATGGAAGAAGCACAGCAGCCTGTGTGATTATGAGATGTCCACTCCACTGTTGACAATTGGACATCCTCTCATAGAGGGGTCACAGGGAAGAGATGAGCCAGTATAGCACCGATGAAACACAACTTTCCTCTAGTTCTTTGGTGCTTCCTTCCCCCCACTATCATGACCTCAATTCTACTTTACAAATCGGATTAGACCAGAGCATGCACACTGCTACAGATAAGAGTTCGCCACACAGGGAATCCAGGATAGATAAACCCCTCAGGGTCAACAATGAGAATAGAGATACCAGGAGGATAAGGGGAAGGGTGGGGGAAGAGAGGGGGAATCAATCACAAGGATCAACATATAACCCCCTCCCAGAAGGATGAACAATGGAAAAGTGGGTGAGGGGTGACAGAGCACGATGTAAGAAATGAAAATAATAATCTATAACATCAAGGGTTCGTGAGGGAGGGTAGGCAGGGGAGGTGGGGAAGAAATGGGGAGCTGATATCGGGGGCTCAAGTGGGAAGAGAATGAAAATGATGGCAGCAAATGTGCTTGACACACTGGATGAATGTATGGATTCTGATAAGTAAGAGATGCAAGAGCCCCCAATAAATGTATTTAATAATATATATATCAAATGCAATACATTAAATAAAATTAACTTGTTTTTCAAAAAAAGAAAAGAAAATTGCTTTCACCCAGCCCTCATTAAATGTTCCAGTGTCATAGCACCACCTACAACTGACGGTCCAGAAGTGGACATCCCCCAGCGCCCTAGGTCACAGAGTAGAGTATGATTAACTTCTCACTGCTTACTCATTTTATAGGGAGAAAACGTAACCTCTGACTACTAATGACTTTCATCATAGTTTCTTTTATGGCAATGTGGTAGTTACATAATCTGTTGTTAAATTGAGACTATTACGAGTGAAGGGGTGGAGTTTAGCCTGTCAGGTCGCAGCTTGATGACCTCATTTGGAGGTGCTAAGGAGATAAATAGACATGCATTCACTCCCTGGGAGACATTCCTGCTGACAAGACACATGGAGCTACACTAGTGCCCTGGAGCTGAAGAAGCCACGTGGAGACCCACGCCAGCGCTGAGATGCTTCCACTGCCACTGGATCCACAAGACTTCTCCCCCACTGGTGTGTGGAATCGGCGTCATTGCTTGTGTTTCATGAGTCAGAAGAGGGCTTTATATTGGACATATGGGCTAGTATCGGACTTAGGGACTTGATCTGGACTGGGATATTTTCTCAATATACAATTGCTCTTTAATAGAAAAACTTTCTTCTACACATATGAGTGTTTCTGAATTTGTTTCTCTAGTCAACCCAGACTAACACAGGCCATTTGAATTATGATTGTGTGTGTGTGTGTGTGTTCGTGTGTGTGTGTGTGTGTGTGTGTGTTCCACTGGTGTTCTTGGCCTGTTTTTCTCCTGGGTATATATCTTTTCCTGATTAGTTTTGATAGGAGCAAGTCGTCTAGCCAAAGGCTATTTTGTTGTTGTTGTGATAAGGCGTTTTATTAAGGCATTTGAGGGTACATTAAGCATTGTCGGTACGTCATCATTTTCATGAATGACTTGTACCTTTAATGACACGTTTAGAGAGGCCTCTTCCCAAGATCACACATGTGAACACAGGGAATTCCCAAAGCAGTTTGTCAGTGAAGCCAGTTATCTTTTGCTTAAGGAAGAACGGTCCTCCACATTTTTTCTTACTTTCTCCTGATGGTGTGCTGAAAAAGACCACAGCCGATTCTGTTTCCACCACAGCTCTATTAAAGCTACAACATTTTAAAAACAGGACCCAATAATGCCAGGGCCACATGGCTAAATAAGCAAACAGTGCTGCGGAGAGGTAGAATATAAATTAAAAAGTGTTATATACACCTCCCCATTCTAGTGAATGATGGGAACTATTTTACGAAAATGCTTGTATAACTCAGTGGGGTTTAAAGTGTTACCACTGCGTCCTGATGTGGCTGTTTGGGAAAATAATGTTGGCAGGCAGTTGTTGGGGACTGAATTGCGTCTCTCCCACAATGTGCCAGGATCCTATGCACATAAATCCTGTTCAGAGAGAGAGGTTTTCTTTCGTACGTTATTTATATTACAGGGTGGGTACTAAGTCTACTCATGTCTGAGTTATTGAAGAAAACTTAGAAAGCAAATTAGACATGGACCGCACACACGGGGGTGGGGTGGTGGTGGTGGGGGGGTGGATTATGCCACATGAGGACCACCCAGGGCCACCAATGCTGGTGTGGGCTTTCAGCATTCAAATCTAGGGGAAATTCCATTTCTGCTCTTTCATGCCACCATGTGCAGTGTATTGTAGCAGCATGGGGAGCATCTGAGTCAGGGCCCTGAACTTGGGCCTTGTGCAGAAATCCAACTCTGCTGTTTCCCACCCGTGGGACCTTGGCCAAGTTACTTCCTTCTCCCTCTGGAAAATGGGGGGGGGGGAGTTGGGGGGCTGTAGCTCTGTCTCACATATCTCACCATCAGCCCAAGGACTCGATGAGAGAACGCACCCGGCATGGGGCCTGACAGCAGTAAAGCACAGTAAAGTTAAGTTTCATGGCTAACTTAACTTTTAAACATTGATTCCTAAACTCTGACAATGCTCCATTTACCTCTTTTGCTAGTTTCTGTCCTTGTTCCACACACACGGGTTTTTCTTTCATATCATTCAGTCTTGCTAAAGTTTTGGGGTCATCTCGAAGATCGATCTAATTGAGAAAGGGCAATATGTCCCATAACATTACAAGCCTTTAAAGATAAATCAGAGCACACAGTCTTATGTAATCCTCACATTAAAAACAGAAAGATTAAACAAAAAATTTAATTAAAAAAATCAACTAGTACAGTTGCTTCTTTCCCCCCAAAACTACGTTGTTGTTGTGTAATTGATTGACTCATGGCAACTGTATGCCTGCAAAGCAGACAGTAGACTCCAGAGGGTTTTCAAGGCCATGAACCTGGGCAGCAGATCACCAGGCCTGTCTTCTATGTGCCTTTGGGCAGATTCGAATCACCAACCTTTCAGCCAGTAGTCAGCTGAGATTAAACACCTACCTGGACTATGTGCTAACTTTTAGGGTGGGCGATTTGTCTGAAAGTACTTCCTCCCTCTCCCCCAAATTAGGCCACAGAGATTATCATCCTTACATGGGTAAAATCAAAGCAGACGTACCTGAGTTCCTATTAATAAAAAGGGGACATTGGGTGCGTATTCCTTAAGTTCTGGTACCCACTCCTCTTTCACATTTTGGAACGAGGCTGGGTTCACCACAGAGAAGCATATCAGGAAGACATCAGTCATCGGGTAGGATAAAGGCCTCAGCCGATCATAGTCTTCCTAAGGAGAAAAGAAACACCTCGTTATTTACAGCTGGAAGTGCAACAGGGCAGTATCGACGCACACAGGAGGCTCACATGTTCGAAGACCCCAAGTCAGGAACATTCCACAGGCTGACGGTATTGTACCCTGGAGAAAGCAAGGTGTCTCTGTTGGTTTTTCTTACTGTCCCGTTTGAAATTCTCAATGCCAAGCCACCGCCATCTGGTCCACTCTGACTCATAGTAACCCTATAGGCCGGAGTAGACCTGCTCCTTAGTGTTCCCCAAGCTGTACATCTCTAGGGGCACCTCCCTCGGAGTGGCTGGTGAGTGGGCACACGCCGACCTGGTAGTTGCAGCCCATACAGTGCCCCCAGGGCTCCCTCAGAGGACAAATGGAGGACAAAGATGAAAGTAGCGTTACTGGCCACCCCTGAACTTTGAGAAAATGCACTGAGTCCCGACGCCGTCACTGCACTGGGAACACGGTAACTGGGAGGTCGACATAGAGAGTGACTGTAGCCGGATGGCATTTCACAAACTCCAAATTCACTGCTGGCCCGTGGATTCCAACTCACAGCGACCCCACACGACAGGGTAGAACTGGCCCTGTGGGTTTATAGGAGTAGACAGCCTCACCTGTCTGTCTCCTGAGGCGCAGCTGGTGGTTTTGAACTGCTGACCTTGCAGATAGTAGCCCGACGCTTAACCCACCACGCCAGATGGGAACACATTCGGCTCCCAGGTGAGCTGCAACGGCTACTTCATATCCACAGGATGGCTCTGCAGGCGCAGGGTGTTTTCATACCTATCACAAAAGGTGCTGAGTACTTGAACATGACCCAGGCTCTGCTTATGTCTATTGCAGGGCCAGGGTTTCATATTGACCTGGGGCAGACTCGCTATCTGGGGTCTCAGTCATCCCCCTGCTAAGTGCCCATGTCACAGCGTGTGCGCGTGGAACTGCAGGGTGACCAGCATCTTCCACATGGGGTTACAGCAGGAGCACCTTCTCTTCCTGGCACTAGCTCCCCTTCACTTCATTAGTGATTTCGGCTGAGGCGTGTGGGTGTGTCTTGACTGGAGCCTGTCCCGTGTCCATTCTTCTGTGACATTTTGGAGGCGGCACACCTGTAATTTGGAGCCATGACATTGCATGACTCCTCAGGTGTTGCCTCTTTCAGGGCAGAAGCAAAATCTGCATTTTTTCACAACATAAAAGAAAAAAAAGTGAAGGCCTCTGACGAGTTTGAATAACGCTATGCTTGATGTTTAAAACAAGCCGGGTAGGGTGGAAATGCAACATGCTAAACCTAGTTAGTTACTGCGGGAGGGCGCCTATGTAAATGATAAGGTTTTTAAAAATCAATGTGAGGGTTAAAAAGTATAGTTGGGTGCATTGAATCAGCGTTTTGTACCCTACTGTCTATTTCTACAGGATCCCTGTTGGCAGTGTGGATTACAAATTGGCCTGCTAATCACAAGGCTCACAGTTCAAAACCACCAGCCACTCCATGAGAGAAAGAAGAGGCTTTCTACTCCCATACAGAGTTAGTCTCAGAAACACACAAGGGCAGTTCTACCCTGCCCTATAGGGTCGGCAGCTACTTGATGGCAATGAGTTTGGTTTTGTTTGTCAATTTCAAAAGAGCCCTGGTGGTGGTGTGGGAGTGAACTTTGGATACAAGGTCAGTGGTTCAAACCCAGCAGCAGCTCCAAGGGAGACAGTTGGTCCTACAGATATACAATGTTGAAGGCCCTACACGGGGTTGCTATGAGTCAGAATGGACTTGCTGGTGGCGGTTTGGTATCTTTCAAACTGCAAATCCATACGGGAAAACGGGACATTTCATCTTTGCTGGTACCCAGCGTCTGAGCACACTGGCTGGCTCTGCATGGCCAGGAGGGGGCACGCGCATTCAAAACCACTTCCTCATCCATCTTCTTAGGGCCAGTTTCCATAGAATTAGAAATGGGAATATTATCCCAGAGGACTGGGAGGAAGGCACAAGGAAGTCACGGGACCACCACACTCAGTGTGGTGCCAGCACATCCAACAACTCCTCCAATGCTTCCCGGGACAATGGCGCTCCACTCCAGCCTCCCTGGCCGCCCGGGGGCCCTTGTCCCCACGCTCCCCTTGAGGAGTGAGTCATCATTTTGGTGAGAAGTAACATTTTCTGCAATGGCTTCAAAACACAAATCAAGCAAACACACGTCTCTTAAGGACGGTATAATTTTCAGGTTAATGGAAGAGAATGATACACTATTACTGTGCTTTCTGTCGTCTTGGAATTCAAGAGGCCTCAGACTTTTAAAAATGTACCCTGGTCCAAAAGATTCACGTTTTTTGTTTTTAAGGAAATCAAATTAGACCCCCCCATTTAGCATAAATTAGACATTTTAATGAAGCTTTAATTTTACAAGCAAGTTTATCTCTGCAGGAAAATGGACTGGATGTTCTTTCTCTGGGGGCGTTATAAGAAATAAAAGGTAATTGAATGCAAAGGTCTCTAGAAATGTTTAATAACAGACATCTGTATGTGCCACCGTACGGAGGTCCGTTATGTAGGTCCCGCCTATAACTCTAGTGAGTACTGACTTTCCTCAGGGAGACAGACGTGGGCATGGAGGGAAGAAGTTGGACCAATCATTTCTAGATATTCGTTAAATTATAAATGTCACTGGACTAATTAAGATAAGAAGAATTGTGATTTTGAGCAGCAACAACTGAACCAAGAATGTTTACAACCCCTCAGAAGAAATGCTACTTCTGAAGTCTAATCTTTCTAAAGTGAACTTCCGGCAGGAACCTCCAGCTAAATAATTGGCTGCTATTATAAGAAGGAGGCCGCTCCTCTTCTCCTCTTCCACCCAGCTCGAGTAATTACAAATCTAATAATAGCAGATTAAGACAGACACACACACACACACACACACACACACACACACACATCTGGGAATGAATACGCTAAGGCATACAGAATCTTTCACCCCAGGCTACAGATTAGAAATGTGGCCACACAAGCAAAGTGAAGTGGAACCGTTTCTGTTAAATAGCCACTTAGAGAAGTCAGAATTTGTCAAAGCCAGATTTCTAGGGACCTCCAAACTGACAAAGAAATTATAGCCTATAATCTTTTTTGTTTAAAGGTTAAGTACTTAAAAATGTGGGCACGCTAACTAGAGCACTCTCAAAGACATGCATATGAAACACTTAGATCAAATATTAATGTCTTACATCAGAATCATGAAAAACGATGAGTTCAGTCAACAAGACTGCTGGACCACTTAGTTACAACCTTTTGTTTCTTAGCAACTACCGACGAGTTTATCAATTTCTTCCACAATGGGTTCTGGTGGCTTAGTAAGGTGCTCTGGTGGTGGAGAGGCTCAGCACTTTGCTGCCAGCCCAAAGGGCGGTGCTTTGAACCAGGGCATCAAACAGATTCGAATCAGTTCTGGCAAAGGCCAATGCAGTGAAATAATCAGGGCAGACCTGAATATTTACATTCTGGGTGGAACAGAATGATGACCAGAATGGTAAGATTATGGGTCAGAGCTCTGGAATGGGAGACGCAGAAGAGGCATGGGGACCTGACGTGGGACACTGGATTGCTGTCGGGATGGGGGAGAGCAGCACACAGTCAGGGCAGCAGAGGGCTGCCATCTTGGCGTGGGCACCAGGTGTTTCAGACTCAGCCCGTCGGGAGATTTGGTCGCGATGCCCTACATACACAGCCCTTGTTTTCTGGGAGGGAGGCCCAGTGTCGAGCAGTAATTCCCCATGTTCTGGTTTTTGTTCCCCTTTACCACATGGTACAAATGTGGGTCCATTCCAGTTTTGCTGTCAGCCGTGACCGGACCGGGAAGAACTGGAGCTCAGCCCCGGTGCAAACCCACCAGCTGCTCCAAAGGAGGCAACGGTGACGACCCGCTTCTGCCAAGATCGCCATCTCGGGAAACCCAGGGGGCAATTCTCTGTGCTCAGTCAGACTCAGCAAGACGCCGGGCGTGCGTGTTGTGACAGCTACCCGATGAGGCCCTCCAGCGTTATCTGCAACGACGGCGGCCTTGACCCTCGAAAACGGCACTCACCATGTGACAAGAGCCAGCACGTGGCCCCCGAGAGAAAAAGGAATGTGCTCTGAGAGGAACCCCAAGCCTGTTAACTGCAACTGGCCATGAGCTCACAGGGCCCTGCTATGCCGCCGTCGCTGGATGACAGACAGACCCGTGGGCTTCTTCCCACGTTACTGATTTTCGTTTACATGTGTCTACTTGAAACATATCCATATCCTACAGCAGGATTTTCAAGTCGCCCACACTGGCCAGTCCGGCTTTGCAGCGCTGTGTTGGCTGGTCACCGAGAGAAGCCTTCCAGAAGAGTTAGCCTGTGAGCTGGGCTTTGCTGAATGGGTAGGACTTGAACCGACACAACCTACTGGTGATGTGGCCCCTGACGTCTCCGAACCTGGATCCCTCTGTCTGTCAAAGGGGAGGATTCCAGTGACAGGTGCTTTGAAGATTGTAAAGTACTATGACAAATGTATGACATGCCTGCCCGTGTGCTACTCTGGTTTAGGAAGGGGCAATCGACTGAAACCGACAAGAGTTTTCTTCTATAAAAACCTACACTCACTACCCATGTCGGCGCAGAGGGACCCTGTAGGACAGGGTCAAGTTGCCCCTGTGGGTTTCTGACATTGTCACTTTTTACAGGACTAGGGAGCCCCAGGGTTTTCGCTCAGAGCAGCTGCTGGTTTCAAACTGCTGACCTTGCAGTTAGCAGCCCGACTTGTTAACCACTACGCCACCTGGGATCCTTAGGAGGGGGAGGGAGAAGTGAGACCACAATAGAATAATTCTTTCACTAGACAAGCCCTAGTCTGTCAAAGTCTAAAACACGGCTTTGAAAGAAATATAAAAGACAACAAAGCTGTCCCTGACAAGTGTCGGTCCTGTGGTCTAGGGAGCGGTAGCAGCGTCCTTTTTTAAGACACACAGTAGCAATCTCTC